CAGCTACAAAATCGCTTGGTGTAATAATAGACGATAAACTCGATTGGCATAGTCACATCGAAAAACTAACGAAAAAGATCGCCTCTGGTATCGGGGCCCTAAAGCGAATTAGGCACCTGATCCCAGCATCAACCTTACATCTCATCTACCAAGCTTTAGTAAAACCTCACTTTGATTACTGTGACATTGTTTGGGGTAGCTGTGGGAAAACGCTACGAGACAAACTGCAGAAATTGCAGAATAGAGCAGCCCGTGTGTTGACATTCTCTAACTATGATGCTGATGCAACTGAGCTACTCGAGTTTTTAGGGTGGAAAAATCTTGCACGCCAGCAGGAAATCCATAAAGCCACCATGATGTTTAGATGTCTGCACGGGCTAGCTCCAAGGTATCTATATTCAAAGTTTACGTGGCGTGACTCTGCTTATGACCTCAGGGACTCTGAAAATAAGCTTAATGTTCCACTACCGCGCACTAATTATTACAGAAAAAGCTTTAGCTACAATGGCGCCACATTATGGAACAGTCTACCACGCGATATAAGAAACACAGAGTCTCTGGGGTTATTTAAACGTAAGATCAATGACATTCTTTAAGTCTAACGCACGGAATTCACGGAAAACAGCTTTAGTGTTATAGTATGTAGTTTTAATTTTAAATATCTCAGCGTATGTGATATGTATTTTTAAAGGCTGATGAATTGATATTGTTTAAATAAAGATTAAATAAAATAAGTAAATAAAATAAGGACGGGACCTCTATTTATCGTCCCTATCCGAGAAGACTAGAAAGTCTAACCATTTGCAGATATCAATACAAAGGCAGCACATTGTTCTCAGTTAATTAAAGACCCTGAGTGTTGGTCCGGCCGGATTTGAACTCACGACCTCCCGCACAACAGTCCGGCGCTCTACCAATTGAGCTATACACCAAACAGGTAATGAGAATACTCAAACGTATCAGGTAGAAGTTGTTATCGCTAATTTACAAGGAAATGCATAGTGGCTAGAGGGGAGAATTAACAACTAGATCTTGGGAGTTTAAGTGTTAAGCAAATTATTACTGGTTAAATTGTTTTGTCATGCTGCTCATGCTCAGTAAAGACTTATGAAAGAATATCGCACTAAGAACAAAGTCACAACAATCAACGATTCAGTGGACTGAGGTTTGCATGCAGCTGATGTAGCTCTGTTGCGCGAGTCGGCTCCTTTACCGACAACAACCGATGTACCTTCGAGAATGTTGTCATCTTTCAAATAGGAATCTGACTCAACAACCACGAAGGATGTGAGCGGTGTGACGAATTTGTACTTCAAAGAAATATTCAGCGCTTCTGACTTCAGTCGAGCTTTTTCCTCTAAATTTTCAGTTACCAGGAGATTGAGTAACAGCTCCTTAATTTTCATGTAAGCCCACAGTCTCTCAGGAAAGTTTTCGACCAGCACCTCGTCTGATGAAACGGTCAGGTTTTGGAGAGTGTGAGTCAGAGAGTAAGAGACAGGTTTGATGCTAGAGATACCCCGAACATTAACAGGCATCAGCCTTGAATCACTGAGTCCTTCCTTGAGCTTTCCAGACACAACAAGCTCCGATCCATTGTTATACTGAGAAAACTCTGTAGCGGTGACTTGTGTGATATCTACCACGTCCTGAGGATACTCGAATCGAACTCGCACCAATAGAGGTGTGCTGATCTCGTCAAAAAATCCTTCTAGTTGACTGGCAGCGTCCTTATCTGGATAGATTCGTCGAGCTGCTCCCCCATTTTCAGCTGATAGCGCAGTCAGCAAGTCCATATTAAGGTTAAAGCCAAATCCTAGAGAAAACACGGATGCTTTTAACGTATTCGCCTCAAGAATGTTGGCACGGATCTGCTGACCATTGACAACCCCCGCGGTTGGCTCACCATCGGTCAGAAACAGCACCATCGGGAAATTGTCTGCAGCAAGTGAGTCCCCCTGGCGAGCAATATCTCCAAGAAGGTTTAGGGCCAAAAGAAGAGCATCGTTGATGTTGGTGCTGCCTCCTGCTTTCACGCTTTGAATCACAAAATTTTTCCCAGCTTGAATATTGTCACCTGTCGCGAGCGAGGTTGAAGGTCTCCACTTCACTGTGTCGCCATTAAACAGGACGATGTTGAATGAATCGTCAGAGCGAAGCTGGCTGAGGATAGTGAACATGGCTTGGCGGGTTTGTTCAATCTTTTGACCTTGCATTGAACCACTGATGTCAATAACGAAGACAACGTTTTTTGGCAATGGATTTAAACCACTGGGGGAGAAATACTGAACGAAAAAGGAATCGAGAACTTGAATGACGCCTGCGTTATTTTCGTGATGAACGTCGTACCTGCCAAGGAGAATGAAAAATAGCTGATCATGTTAACCATCAGTAGGCATATTCTACAAACTCTTCCCTATGCATTTCCTAAGGTGATGACAGGGAGAATTTGTTCAACAATGAGTGTCGTGACATGCTGAAGTATCATTTCCTACAGTTTTTCTTAGATAAGGTTCAAGCACGTTTTCTAGTAATTTTAGTGCTCTTGCGTGCAGAAACGCGTATTGCGTGTGTTCCAACCATATCCGTAGCGAATAGCAGCTGTGGTCTTCTGCTTCCTGTCACGAATCACTAGTGGTAATTAAACTAAGGAAATAAGGGCATAGGGTAAAATAAGGACTGGACTGGACTGGACTATTTTTTGGACGATTTTTTTTTTGGACTTTTTTTGGACGATTTTTTTTTTTTTGGACTATTTTTTTTGGACAATTTTTTGGACCATTTTATAAGGGGAGAGGCACACCTTTAGTACTCAGGGAGGGGTGGGTGCAGTCGACAAGTACTGAGGGAGGGGTGGGGGAAGAGTGTTATTACTCAGGGAGGGGTGATAG